ATAGTTTGCTAAACAATTGATCCTGGTGTTTCCTACATCAAACATTGCATGTATTGTCTTTTCAGATTAGTTTTTTGAGTATTAAACATATCATTCAAGTCTTGCTAAAAGTGGTAGTTAGAGTAATTTGTCATTGTAGATTCTGTTTTGACAGATTTTAATTATGAACATATTCTTTATATCTTTGATGCTTGAATTCATTAAATAAGCCTTTTATTGTAAACAACCTTTTTTTATTGAAATGTCCTTATAACGCTTAACACGATAATTTAGACATGATGATTGGTATGTGAAGGATGCATGTTTTCTGTACAGCTCTCAATATGTCATTATGCTCCACTGTTATTGTAGAGTGATTTCAGTCTGTTGGCATTTCTGGTGTGTTCACTAAGAGAGACTGGATAACAAAAGCAGAAATAAACTGACTTACAGAAAAAACAACAAATGAAAAGAAGAGAAGATGAGGGGAAGAGACATGTTTCTTAAACAGCCATTTTGATAAAACATAACAAGTTTCTCCTCTCTGTCTTTTTTACAACAGCTTTAAAGTCAGATCGAGTTTGAAGTCTTACCGGCGGCTATTTCCAGCTTTACTGGGACTGACATTGCATTTAGCTTTGTGTGACTAAAAGAGACAAATATTCCAAACTCAGCATCTGCAACATCATCTGGGGTTCAAACTAATGCTCATAACAACATTTGTGAAATACGTTAAAACTAAGTTATGCACTAATATAAGTTCCTCTTGCTCGTGAAAATGTGTGACAAGTTCACTTCAGCTTAACTAATTAGATTTCATTCAGCTTCTTTCTGCTTTGAGAAGACTTTTCTGAATTGTACACGCTAAATTTCAAAAGTTTTGTCACAGAAAGCTTTCAGTGATACATCTGAAGAATGCTTTGGACCATTGGGAGCTGCCAGTATTTAGTGATTGGTTTGGACTACGCAAAAAAAAACAAATGATGCGCTTTCCTCCGTCAGTTTGAACCTAATTTTCAGAAGACACATTGGGAAACATGAAAAGGGATTTGGGGAAATAGGCCACAGCAGAGACTTCAATGAGCACGAACCAAATGACGCCAATATAGCAGCTTGAGCATAATTAAACTTCGCAGGGCAATGATGATCTGCAAAAAACCAGCTTCACATTGAGTAGTGGCCCCAAAGCTCACACTGCTCACTTTAGCATCTTTTTCATCTGTAGGAAATCTCAACGATATATCCCGCAGCTGTAGCATTGGGTCATGAAATACTTTGCACAGTGCAGTGTGCCATTAGGTTTGTCTCACTCATGGTCATCCTGGCCATCTTTTTCTGTTACCATGACAACAATTCTCAGCACTCCTCAGCCTCTTGATAGTGTGGAAAATAAACAAAAAGACAAAGGGAAACATGTGAGATGCTGGGAAGCAGCGATGAGCACGGACCAACAGCCACCACTGGCTGGCCCACTTTGACTACAAATGACTTAAAGGCTCAGCTTGATGCGTTTCAGGTGTTGCATATCCCACCAATTTTAGTCTCCGCTATCTTTAGTCAGGGAAAAGTGTGTCGCTCCATCTTACAGGCCATCCTTCACTGTCATCCCACATTAAGAAAAGCAGTCACATAGAGTGATACTCTGGTCTAGTTACTGAGGTACCACGACCACATATATATCTCACACAGCAGCGTACTGTCTGCTGCATTCATGCACTATAGATTTAGTGTCATTTATCCACCGGCCCTATTTTCTGCTGTAAGTAGGAAAAAATGAAATGAATACAAGCACAGTGGCCATTCAACCATGCTCATTCTGAGACCAAAAAAAAACCCCAAAGAGAGATAAGAGTTTATACCTAGTAAGATCCAGTTTGACTTGATGAACAGAGCCAGGGTTCCCAAAGCTCAAATCCAGTAACAATTTAGACTTGTTGATGGCTCAAAGTGAAATGGTATGACCAACTTTAGAATAACAAATATGTAAGGAAAAATATTATAAGATAAGCTGATGTCACAGTATCCATACAGGCGGTTTTTGGGTTCCTTACAGACTAACCAGACCCCCTCCAACGCACTAAAACAGTCTCAGGCCTGAGCCTATACATTTGACTGTTGCTCAAATGTAACAGAGAGCGATTACATTCAAATTCCCCGCTGTGTTAGCTTTTAATCAGGCTCTTCGTGTCTGAGCAGAATTACAAAACTCGTCTGCTCACCTGCTCCCACCCATAGCTTGGAATAAATGGTGTCACTACATTTCTTGAAAAGACGCAGGTAAAAGACTCATGCAGTTTCTTTGCGTCAGCCCATAGCACATAATGTTGAATTGTTTGCTTATATTTCTCTCAAAGTAGTTCTGCAGAAAATGTCAACGGAGAAACATGAGCCCAAAAATACAGCTCTTTGTTTAGAATGCTGGGAATTTGTTTGCCAGTGCACCATGTCCTTTTGTTTCACTGATTTTACTGAAATCTGAAATGTCAAACTTAGTGGCTTGTGCACCAAAAATAACTGTAATAACATAAATGGTAGAAAATAATACTTGTATACTCTCAAAAGCTACTAGCGATAACATCCTGAAAGACTTTATCAGGATATAATGAATACCAGTGACGACTAAAGCATTTTTCATATTATATTTATTAATAAAGTACATATTTGTATTTATGGCAAAGAAAATAAGATAATTGGGACTACTTTTCAACTATTTTGTGCAAGATGGATAATATATATACATTTCACATGATGAAGTTCATTGTATAACAACAACGTAGGGTTAACTATGTTTTTGTTTCACTTGGCAGGCCTTTCCATATTATAATTCAACATTTCAAGAAATGTCATCGTGTGGTCCTAATAAAGCCGTTTCTACTTTAAAGAAACTCTGAAGCTTCAGTTCAGGGGGTGCTGTGCAAACTATAAATATATTTAATTATAATAATAAATATAGTGAACTTTTAGGAAGTACAGAGACAAGACAAGCTAAAACTCCCCAGACGATTGTAAATAAAAGTAGCCTCCAATGGCTAAGACGATTCAACATCAAACGGAAACTTGAGATTTCTCAAGTGGCAGATGGTGTGCCTACTTTCTCTAATAATAATTTTAGATAAAAAGGTTTCTCTAAAAATAAATAGGCTTTTTTTTGCAGATCCGTGCTTGTCAGGCCCCTTCATCATCTGTTACTGTTTGTAAACGATCAGTAATTAATAGCCGAGGGTGCATGGCTGACACGTTGCATGAAATGAACGTTGGCATGAAGTGCTCTGCATTTGATCACAGTACATTCCAGAACAAAATTGTAAGGTTAATCACACTGTAATCCAGATCATAATGATTACATACAAAAATATTACAAACAGTAATTGTATCCAGCCTGTATTTATTTTTTTACAATGACCTGATTCAAAGCATGTGAGTCTTACACCACTGGTGTAGTATGTGTTTGTGTATTTATACTAAGCAGGATGAGAGCATATTTAAATCAAATTTTCCTCACAGGCTTTTGAATGCCATGCAGAGAATAATGAATTGTGTTACTGTGTGTGTGTACCCATCATTATATAAACCTGTATCTTATGTTCTGGGTATCTGAATAGAAGGGTTTCTATAAGAAATGCAAGATGAATCTTCAACAGATTTGTGTTCAAGATATCACTTGTGTTACAACTGGGAGGGGTGATAATAACAGATGGGAAGAAGTCAACAGTTTGAATTGCAACTGTTATACTTTAACATATTCTTACTTTATTGAACACAAGAAAGTGATAACTAGTGAAGTTTATCTCAGGGCAGAACAATAATGCTTTCAACTGTAAGGTACTCTACCACTAAGGGGGCTCGTATATCTAGCAACTCACTTGACCTATCGGGCTAGAGATAACAAATGATTAGTTATATGGGTTTTTGTAATGGACTGCAAAGGCTAAAATCCCAAAGTTCACGCCAGAGAGAGTTCCTTTGTTCACTTCCGTAACCTAATAACATCACTGTAACACTTACGCTTTTATTGACTAGCATCAAACACATTGTATGTGATAGGCTAAGGGGCGTGACATTCTTAAGCTGTTGACCAATCACAACAGAGTTGGCCAGCTAACTAATCAGAGCAGACTGGGCTCTGGTTTCAGACAGAGGGTGAAAAGAGGTATGGCACAGGCAGTATGAGAAAAATAAAGACCTTTTCGAACATTAAATCAATCAATCAATCAATGTTTACTTATATAGCCCAATATCACAAATGTTACATTTGTCTCATTAAAGTGTGTTAACATGTCACAGTAGAAGCAAAGAGTACAAACATGAACCTGCAAATGTGCATAATATGTCCTCTCACACAGTTTATTTATTTTAAGGCAGTACTGATAGAGGCACTCACAATAAATTACAGCGGGTAAAGACAAAGTTTATGAGCTAAAGTTCTAGTGAGCATATCAATAATCCTTCAAACAGGAGTTTATTTGGGTGGCTCTATGCATTGAGTCTGGGTGCCTTAAAAGCAGTCATGTGAGCTTTTGAGCCACGCTAAGATCTGTTAAAATGTCACTTAACAAAGTAATACAAAAAAAAAAAAATCAATTTTCAGAAATTACGCTTTTTAAAAAAAATAACAGTAATAGCTCCAATTTAAGTGTTTCCATTGTAAGTGCCTGTATTAAAGATGTCGGTCAATAAGAGGGACCTCTGGTTTGAGAGCTCTACGTTTCATTTTAGTTGATTTGGATCATGGATTGTAAGGTAAAGGATGATTTTCTGAGTCAACACAATAATAACTGGCTGTAAGGGTAGTAATTGCACACAGCCCCCATAACTGGCTGTAAGGGTAGTAATTGCACACA